GTGTGGTGGCCTCAGCCTGTTTCACTCACCACAACAGTTGTCGGGACCACACTTTTGCACCAGCCACCCCAGCTTCAAGGAATCTGGCACAAATTCAGCCTCACTCTCTTAGTGAAAATACCTGCCGCAAAGACCCTTTCCCGCCTCACACTCGAACTGTTAAGGAAGAAATCCAGAACTGACTGAGACAGGACAAAGGCCACAAGCTGGAGGTCAGCAAGTATTGGACCAGCCTGAGCTGCAATGGTGAGATCCTACCTAAAATAAATGAGTAAGTAAGAAATAAAGTAAGGAGAAGGAAAACAGATAACATGCAAATGGCACATGTGAGGAACTTTACAGGTAGTGATCCCAGGATTCCATAGTGAGAGACTTGGTTTCTTGGTCTGGGGTGCACCCTGCACTGTGAGGTGGAATGAAGTCTCCCAAGTAGTCCTAAAGGGGGGTTAAAAACAAGAACTCTTCCTTTGTGAGCTTTTTAGTGCAGAGAGCTGTATTTACTCCATCATCAACCCCCGCCCCAAGTAAAAATTTCTTGCCATACTCATCCATAATAATCCACTTACTTTTTGGAAAAGGAAAATAATTGCAATGCCATTTACTAACTGGAAAACAAGGTCAAAATACACTCTGACTTCTACCATTCAGTTTCCCTCCAACACAGCAGAAGAGTAAAATGCTAAGGAAATGAAGGGAAATTATCCCAAGAGACAAAACTCAAACAGCACAAATAGCTCCAACACAATAAGAGGAGGCTCACGGTGGCAGGCTTGTATGAAAAAGTACAATTGCTTTGAAATTCATCAATGCACTAAGCAGAAAAAAATTTCAGATAGTAGAAGAGAAAAAAAAAAGAACAATTTCCTTAAGTCTTTTCAATAATGGCCTAATTTTTATCTTAAGATGAATTTCAAATTATTACATCCTTTCAAGCTCTCTGTTAGAATGCGTGCATTTATATTTTGGCTTCTCATCATGGGAAATGCAAACTAATGTCATCTAAGTTTCTAACACTAATCCATCTACAGCACAGCTGAAGAGCAGATGCCAAGGCTGGGTGTGGAGCTCCATTGGTACAGTGTTTGCAGCATGCACAGAGCTCTGGATTCAATTCTCAGCAACCACCTGCCATCCCAGCACTCTGGAGACAGAGGCAGAAGGATCAGGAGTTTAAGATCATTTTGGGATACATAGAATTTGAAGCAAGCCTAGGCTCTACGGAGAGAAACCCCGTCAAAAAAAAAAAAAAAAAAAAAAAAAAAAAAAAAAAAAAGTAAAAGGCAAAAAGAAAGAATACAGAAGAAAAGCAAATGCTCAAAAATCATTTCACATAATAATGGATCCTATTTAGAAACAAAAGACCCAGGATAGCCAAAACAACCCTGTACACAATAGAGGAACTTCTGGAGGCATCACCATCCCCGTAAGCTCTATTACAGAGCTATAGTCCTGAAAACAGCTTGGTATTGGCACAAAAATAGACAGGTAGATCAATGGAATAGAGTTGAAAACCCTGATATTAACCCACACACCTATGAATACCTGATTTTTGACAAACAATCCAAATATATACTCTGGAACAAAGAGAACATCTTCCAAATGGTGCTGGCATAACTGGATGCAAACACGTAGAAGACTACAGATAAACCCAAACCTTTTGCCCTGCACAAAACTTAAGTCAAAATGAATCAAAGGCCTCAACATAAACCCAGCCACACTGAACCTATTAGAAGATAAAGTGGGAAATACTCTTGAATCAATCGGTACAGGAGACTGCTTCCTAAATATAACACCAGTAGCACAGACACTGAAATCTACAATTAATAAATGGGACCTCCTGAAACTGAGAAGCTTCTGTAAGGCAAAGGACACAGTCAACAAGACAAAATGGCA